CAAGGGACCAGTGTGCCAAATGACCACTTTCCTCACTGAAATACCCTGCAGAGACAATAAGCTGGGCGAGGTGTTTAACAGGGTATACACCCTGGCAAGCTGCAGTTACATATGAAGGAATTTAACACCTCTAGTAAACATTTATAAACTGAGAATTATTCCCATATGGGAGATGATCTAGCATTGGTTTTTTCACTAATATCTCCCCTCTCTTCACCTGCCTGTTCCTGTCTTCAATGTTTAATTTTTTTTTAAATTTTTCTTTTAGCAGGAAGTGCAAAAGAGAAGAGACAGCGGAGTGTAATGATTTATGCATTTATTCTCAGTTACTTCCACCTCAGCTCCTGCTGCTAAACAGCTGCTTGGAGGCCTGCTTCTCCCCGTGGGGTTTGCTGATGTCCCAGATGAATAATGTCCCCCTTCACCTCCCTGGCAGCTGGCGCCCAGCCGACGTGCAGGCAGGATGCTGACAGTGATCAGGAAAACATTTGGCATGCAGGCAGCTGCCAGAAAGAAAAAGTCACTCTGAGCAGACCAGGGTGGGGAACATTTCAGATATTAAACTACTCCCTGACCCTTTTTGCATTTACAGTAATTCTTTCCAATAAGGAATAAGCTGCCAGGGTCTAGAGCACTCAATAATTAGTTAATCCAGGATTAAATACAAGAATTATTCAAAACTTTAGTACATTGTTTCAGTCTTGATTGGCTTTTTTTTTTATCAATCTTGCCATAATTTGTCTCCTTTCCACATGGGTTTTTACTAAGGCTTCTTCCAGAGAATGGCAATTATCCTAATGTCACCTCAGAGTTAGCCCTGCAATGAGCATGGTGTTGGGACAGAGGGTTTCCAAAGATCCTCTCCAAACTAAATTGCTCTGTGACCTTGTTCTGTGATGCTGGAAAGTATTTGGATCACCTTCTGTAAAAGCTTAGGATCACAAGCATTTTGAAGGCAAGTTGGTGTTGGCAGGTGTGGTTGTTACTACTTTCAGGCTTTGTGTGAGTCCACATGATTTTCCTTGTCAATGTCAATCAGTTTAGAAGTAAAATATATGGCAGACTATTGAGACTGCCAGACTCCAGTTCAGAGAGTGTGTGACATGATTTAATGGTTAGCTGAGCATTGACCTGTGGCTGAGAAGCAAATCAGAGCATCTTCCAGGCTGTCCTCATCTGCTTACAGTGGTATTGGTCCTACTGCAACTGTGATTCCTGGCTCCTGCTGCTTTTGCTGCACTAATCTCCCACACCTCCCATGCTTTTTACTCAGCCATTCTCTGTTATAATGTTAAAAAAACCCCCTGCTTCTCGCTTCCAGCCTAGTAAGGAGAGATTATATATTCTTTATTCTATGTTGCTTACTTTTTTTTCTCAAATCAGCTCTGTGTTATCTTATTTATAGATATGTTTTTTCTTTCTTTGAATAACTTCAGCAAAATTTATTTCTTTCTGTAGAAAATATAACGTGAGGTTTTGACTGAAATGACTTTTTTTCTTAGCATATTTTACACTTTACTAAAGCATCAAACAGAATGCTAAATCTAATATTGAGATAGGAGAAAATGTAATTGATTTCATATTAATTTTCAGTAATTTAATAACAATGCTATTAACACTGAAGCAATGCACAAAAAGAACTTGTTCTTATTTGTAAATGTCATTTTCTATTATGTGTCAGACACCTGAGGCACTGCATATTTGGAGGGACTTTTTGCACTTCTTGGGCAAAAGTTGCAGCCTCTTATGGCTTGTACTTGTGCCTCAGACGCTTCCCTGAAGGCTTCATTAATTGCCAGTAATGCAAAACTTTTTGTATCATTTTGCTAAATTATGCAGTTCTCTTCTTCTCTTTGTCGTGCCAGATAGGAAAGGCTTTGGAAGGGAATTTAGTCAGAGTGTCTTGATCCCTGGGAAGTATCTGAAAGCTGAATGAAATCTCCTAGAATAATGGAGGGTAGCCAGAACCTGAAGTGAGGATGTCACCTTCAGTGTCCTGAGAAGATCTACTGTCCCAAAGGGCAAAGTTCTAGTAAGACTGTCAGTCTTCTAAAAAGAGAGCAGGAGAGCCCATCCTTCTCCAACAACACCAGAAAAAAGCCCTCTCACCCATCATGGTGCTGAAATATAAAGCACCCTTTGCCTGCAAATGATTATGCACTGCAGAAGGGGTCACACAGAAGTATTTTGACAATCACAGAATTGGCTGGGAAAGAACTCTAAGAGCATTGATCCCCCATTAATGAGCACTGCCATTTTCACCACTAAATCACACCCCTAAGTGCCATATCCACACACCCTTTGGACAGTTCAAGGGGTGGTGACTCAACTACTTCCCTGGGCAGACTGTCTCAATGTTTGATAACCCTTCTCAATGTTTGATAACCCTTTCCATGAAGAAATTTTTCCTGATATCCACTAAAGCTCTCCTGGCACAACCTGAGGCCATTGTTCTTCCTCTCCCTCTTGTCCTATAGCTTGTTACCTGGGCGAGGAGGCCAATCCCCACCACAACACATTCCAGCACCTCATGTCTTTCTTTCAGTGAGGGACCCAACACTGAACACACTCACCAGTGCTCAGCAGAGGGAGACGATCTAATGTGTTAATCACGCTATTTCTGATGCAAATAGTGCATTCTTCTGTGTTCTTTCTTCATGCCCTGGAATCTGTTTGTGCTTCAGTGAGAAAAGCTGAAGGACCAGGAAGCAAGCCAGAGTTATGGCTCTATGCAGAAATAAGAAATAGGAGATCTCTTTAAGGCATGAAACCTCCCAGCAGGAATTGTTGTCATTATCTTCTCTACCCCAAAGCAGGCTGGGGAGCTGCTTTCTGCACAGAGATGTTATTGATTGTTATTAATTTTGCCATTGGTCTCCGTTTCTCTGTACAGGCTCTGCTGCTCTTCAGCTGGTGTTTATTCTGAGCTAGTCCCAGGCCTGGCACTCCACTGCCTTGTTCTCAGTATCCATGGGAACATTCACATTGTTCCACAGCTCAAAACAGGGATTCAGTGTCCACCTTCGCTTTAGAGATTCACTCCTCATCTGCTGCATGAGAGAGTGCCTTGCCTTCCTACAGGACACAGAGTTTGAGAATAGGCTTTTCTACATTAATTCTGTATTCTTGTGTCCATCCTCTAAGTGGAGAAACTCTTTCTTTGCCAAGATCTGAAAAGACAAGAGCTTTTTTCCTGAGATTTTCGCTGGCAAAAGTAAAGCAAATGAAGGCAGTTTCCCAGCCACTCTGTGTCCTCCCCCTCTCAGAAAGCTGCATGAAGAGAGACATGCCCAGAGCTCCTGCCTCTCCAGGCACCACAGCTGTTCAGTAACTCAGCACAGATACTGAGCCCTGGTCCTAAGTAGCTGGTTAATCCTTCTTGGGGACCTGTGCCTGCCTCCAGGGTGCTTTCTACACAGCAAGTCCAGCAGAATGGAGCAGCTCGGACCTTCCAAAATTCGTATTTGCTCGCTGTTTCTCAGCGGGGGTCACCACTTGCCTCATCCCCATTGATACGAGGGAGGTCCATGAATCAGCTGCACAGCGATAGCACAGCCCTCACGGTGCTCATTATGCATCTTGCTGCTGGAGGAGAGCACCATCTTTGGTGCCAAGTACATTAGGGAACATGCCTGGGTTTAAAAAACCTCCATGGGAGGGAATCACAACATTTCTACAGCTTGGCCTCTTGCATCACAAAAGCTGAGCCTGCTCCTCACCGTGTCTCAGGCGGGTGATAACAAAAGTCCAAGGTCAACAAACAAAATGAACAGCTTTAAAACAACAAAGCTGTGCTGGGGTTTGTGTACAGTGTTTGTTGCCACAATCTGGCCCAGAGTCACCATCTCACATTTCCCTGCCAGAATGATGGAAATATAAATAGGGGCTATAAACCCAAAGTATTTCCAGCTCATACATCCAAAGGATAGAAATTATAGTCTCTTAGCAAGGAAAATGTTCGAGGCTGGTGAGGTAATGGGACCTGGTTACAGAGCTCATTTCTCTGAAAATCTTTAATACAGCATGGAAGTTTTTCAATGTCCTTGATGCAACCTCTGTTAACTTGTAAAATAATCCCTTCTTTCCGTGGAAAAGCCCCTTCCTTCGAGAATGGACTGTTGGGCTCCATTTTGGGAACCATTTCTTTCCAACTGCTGTTTCCAGATATTTTTGTATGGCTTTGAAGACAGAGTGTCAGCAAGGAATAAAATCTGGCTGCTTGAAAGATAATCCATTGCTTGTTGGCTTACCTAGAAAGGGCCTCACCTTCCTGTGCATTAGCTGAGGGCTGCTGCTGTTGAACCATAGGAGTCCAAGCTCCACTCTTGCTAAATAATATTCTGGAAGTCCATGCCATGAGTCACAGCAGAGCACGAGGGGCTCTGCTCATTTGATTAATTTCATTGCCATGCCTGCCCTTCACTTGTTGACTCACAGCCATAAGAGCCTGGGATGTGCTGCGTACGTAGTAAACTCATTAAAGGGGGAATGTGTGTCAATGTATGGATGTGTACGAGAGCTTTTTGAAATCCCTTATGATCTTCCCACCCACTGGGCATTGCTTCAATATGGAGCTCAATCGTCAGGAAACAAACTTGCTCCCTCATCTGCGTTGCACATTGCAAAGAGCTTGCCAAGTACGGCCAAGCTTTTAGAAAGAAAAGAGAATCCCCCCACCAGTGAATTTATGACCCTTGGCTCTGCTTGTGGCTTGTTCCTGTGCATGCCTGAGTGACATGGAAACTGCAGAAAATCTGTTTGGCCTGTTTCTATGCTCTCACACTTGCAGCTACGTTGGATTTTTCCTTTTTTTTTAAATGACTAGGGGGTTTTGTAGGGTTTGTTACATTATAACACAAGCAATACGCCCTGAGAGGCCCTAGAGAAGAGCAACACGCATTCGTGAAAAGAAAAGGGAAGGATGGAAAAGAAACACGGAGTGGTTAGAAGAGCTTCTGGAGCATTTTAAAGTAAAACACCATTCTCCTCATCTCTTCCAGGTCCTTCAAGCCGGATTTTGTGCTGATCCGCCAGCACGCCTACAGCATGGCCCTGGGGGAGGACTTCCGCAGCCTCATCATCGGCCTGCAGTACGGCGGCGTCCACACGGTCAACTCCCTCCACTCCATCTACAACTTCTGCAGCAAGCCCTGGGTGGTAAGTGATGAGCTAGCTCTGCTGCGTGCCAGCACTGCACACGAGACCTCTGGCACCAGCAGAAAGCCCAGCTCACCTTCTGGGAGTTTCAAAGGAGCTGGTCTCTTTAGGTTAAAATCTAAACAACCTTAGGAATCCAGGTGGGGGTCGTTGGAGGAGAAAACCTACCAGCACTACTTCTTTATCAAGATGCTATTTCTGCACCCTGAGCAGGATGTTTCCCTTGTCCCAGACTCAAAAGGATCACCAACAGCTGATAGTGCAGCAGCACCTAGATTTCTTGTAAGGGGTGGGAAGGACCCACATGGGAAGAAGTAGAGAAAATCAGTCCTTCAGGGTCAAATCACCATACATGTAGTTTCGCAACAGTCTCAGAACAAAATGCAGTATTATCATAAAGTGTTGGTTCATTGAACCTGAAACATTGAACCTTGCAAAGACTTAGGCTGGGTCAGCTCCTGATGAGGGCAGGGCAATGTTTTGATATTTTGCACTGGAAGATCCCTTCGCCCATTCTTTAAATTTTGTCAAGTTCACATGAGAATCTCAGAAAACCTTGAAAGATATTATCATTAGATTTTCTCAGCCCCAAATCCCCAGACAACTTCTATGACCAGCCCCAAGGCAGCTGTAGCTGCAGAAGCAGGAGTGCTGGAGAGATAATTTGGCCATGAGCCACAAGAGTAAGGCTCTCCATGGCAGCACCTGCAGGAGGAAGTCAGATCCTGATACCATTTTGGAATTCTTGTATGCGTTTTCCAAGCAGTTTTGTCCCAAAATGTGTTCTCTGATCACTGATGCTTCCAGAATGGAAATTTCCCTGCATTCTTCAAAGCAGCAAACTACAGCTATATGGATGTGAGAAGGAGGTGGGGCTTTCCAATATGAAAGTTTTCCATGGAAAACTTTTAGATGCGTTTTCAGGAATTCCCTTACTCATTGAACAAATTGAGCTTGGGGTGAGATGGAATTTTTATAGCAAATGATAGCTATCTTCCTCATCACCTAATTAAGTGGGGTTTTATTGCTGCTTTTCTCCTTGGAATAAATATCCTAGTGGTCCTCAGTGTGTTGGTTGGTAGCTCAAGTCCAGATGAGGCCTCAGACTTTTATTTCCATGACTGGGCAGTGTTGGATTTAAGTGATTTCTTACTAAAATGGTACCGGTGTAATAAACACAGTCTTTTCAGTTTTCACCCCTTTTACAACATTTTTGGGGTTTGTTGAGACCAAAAGAAAGATCTTGTCTTTTCCAAAAATGCTGTCACGCAATAATCAGGGTAGTGAGAACAATCTCACTTTGCCATCACTGTATAGGTGGTCAATGTACATTTGACCTGTTTCCATTTGATTTTTCAGTTCCAGGCTCAGTACCACACCTCCACACTGTTTCTGACAGCTGGTCCTACACACAAGTGCATTGGCCCTGATGACCAGACAAAAAGCCTCCACATTTACGCTGCCATGTGGTCCATTCCATTTGATTTTGGGGTCAAGTCAGTCAGGGCTTAGTTGACACTTTGCAACTCATGCCTTGTAATTATGTTTCTGATGGTGAGAAGGGGCCTCAGGATGCGAAAGGCCTATATTTAGGCATCTAAAATAAAAGGAAACAAACAAACTTAGCACATTAAAAAAAGGAAGAAAAAAAAAAAGCAGCACTGGAAAGGCAGTGTGGGAGAACTTGGCGCTGCCAGCAGCTTGGCTCTAGCTGCTCTGGGTCTGGTTGTGCCATGCTTTCCTCACAGGGAATACAGCTGGCACAGACAGACTTCCCAGAGGAGTCAAGGAAACCACTTGCAAACAATTTAAACAGGTTTTCAGAGTGTCTCCTTTCCTTTCTGCCCCTGCACACCCATCACCCCCAAACCAGTGATTGTATCGTGCTCAGCAACCTAAGATTGCATTGAATGAGCAACGTTCAGATGGTACTTAAGCTCATGGAGAGATTGCAGTGGGGTATTGGAGGGCAAAAAGCTTCACTGGCAGCAGAATCAGAAGATTTTGTTTTTGTGATAGCTGGGAAGTGAGAGATAGGGATACTTCGATGCACGTTCCACTTTGATTGCAAAACAAGCATCTTGAAATGAGGGATCTGCATAACAAAGATTACTGGAAACTTTTTGGATCTAGAAAACAGTTGAGATGCATGAAGAAATGAAATTAAATACCCCTGGGAAATGTGCTTTTCACTCTCATTTTTTATTTTCTCCAAAATCGGTTCCATTTCATAGAAATGTTTATGATTTTGTGGAGGGGGATGAAATTGAGACTGTTTTTCCTTGGCAGTTTGCAACCATGTTTTATTCTCAGCAACTCTAATTACAATCAGCTGAGTTTGGTTTTGAGTTTACTCAAACATGAAGCCCCATTTTTAATGACGTTTGCCAGGTTTCCAGTTCTGCAATACAAAAATTTCTTTTAAGATTAAAACAGGCACAGTTTGAATTAGATGTTTATGAGAGAAAAGAAAAAAGTATTTAAGGAGTCTCACATTCTGAGAGAAACATCTAAGAAATCTAAGATGATTTCAGAACAATTGAGAAATAATACTACAAGCACACTAAACACAATGCTTCAAGGACCAATAGTAATTTCTGTGTTAGAATTCTAAGTTGCAGTCCAAATTACAGTGGGAAGAATGCTCAGAGTAGTAGTCACACTGCATGCAGGTAATGTCTGTAATTGCAAAGCAAATTCTGCATCTGTAAGGCAGCAGAAAACATGACAGTCCCCTCCTGAGTCCAGGGACTCCTAGCCAAACTATTATTGACTGTCAAGGGATACAGGCTCCCTGATGACCTAGGCACTTTCAAAATGTGTGAAAGGCCTTAAGATGCTCTGAATGGAACTTTTTATTTCTCTGTAAAGACTCCCTGCATGTAGCTGTTCTCCAAACAGTCAGGCCAAGGCGTTTCCCTTGCCTGCGTGTTCCAGGTACCTTAAACCAGGCTCTGCCTTCCCCCATGTGTTATCTGTGGTCTGGATGCAATCTCACTAAAACCAGTGGAAGGACAGAAAGCCAGAACTGCTGCCAGCATGTGGAAGGTGTGGTTATATCTAGCAGAGCTGCTGACAACAACATTCCTACCCATCTGCATGGGGAGATGTTACTTGAGCTCTGTTATCAGGTATCTCAGAGGCTGCTGCACCACTTAACATGGGAGTCTCTTTGTCAACATCCTGTCCCTAATAACTGGTAAAAAAAGAGAAAATGGGAGGGAACTGTCCCATGAGGGGCAATACCAAAGTCAGACCTTTTTGCAGGCTTGGCCCAGTGACGAGGCTCCCAGATGTCTGAATCTCTCATCTGAAACACTCGCTATTTCAGCAACAGCCAAGAGCTTATGCTTCAAAAGGAGGAAGTCAGAACATTGTCTATCAGCTGCACAGTTGTTCCAGTTATTTTGTTTGAGCTGTTTTCCCAGGATAACTGTACATTGCCTCAACATCACGGTGTCCATGGTTCACCAGGGCTGCGTGCACACACAGCAAGGGGCATGGGCTGTTCTCAGCCAGAGTGTTTTTCCTTCTCTCTCTGTCTCTGGCTCATTGTGTTTAACTTTTAAGCCCTGTTTGCTCACCTTGCTAGTCAAAACAGGGCTTTATTTTTCTTTTCTAGAATGTGCAAGGCTAGTGCAAGTAGTTGAGAGAAGCAAGCTGTCCTCCTTTCACAACATCAATACCCTCCTTGCCAACAATAATTATTCTGCATTAGGAGTTTTTCCTCTTATCTGCTGATGCATGTGAGGGTGGTGGTGGTGTTAGTGATGGGATATGCTGCCTCTTGATGTTTCCTGGATTTTCTTTAAATGCTGTGTTTTGAACTGCGAGATTAGGAAAAGGATTCTTTGCATTTGTCTGCAAATCTGCTGGCAGCTGCCTCTTCAGCATTTGGCCTGGTTCTGGCACACACCTTGCAGCCTAATTTTTTTTTTCACAGTGACTTCATGCCCAGATTTAACTCTCAAAGGGGTTGTTCTTCTCCACCAGCAAATTAAGTTTCCACTACTTATGTAGCGATTCTTTTGGAGTCCTTAGACTAGTCCAGTAACCAGGTGAGAAGGCTTAACAGGGCTACTCAGCAGAAAACATCCTCAGTACCTCTCTCTATCTGCAGTGTAACCTTGGTGTTGTGATTTGGTGCATTTACTGGCTCCAGCTGTTGCCCAGAAGTGCTCAGAACATGCAAGACTAAGCTGCTAGTGCTATTGTGAAGAAAGGGAGCTTTCTTTTCTTTCCCTTCTTCCCTAGATGTCTGTTTCCTTCCCTTAAGTGACACAGAGATCTCCTTCAAGATTAATACATCCCTACCTTTGATGGGCAACTTGAGAAACTCATGCAAAGACTTAAAATCTGTCCTTACTTGGCCCAAGGTGGAGACCTTAATTAATAAACTTGATTTTGCCTGATTCTGAGGGGATTGGAAACTGAATTCAATTTATAAACTACACTGTGAATAGGACTCAATGGAGAACTCAGATCTACCTACCAGCTCAGCAGGAACCAAACACTTTATTCTCTTGTGTGGCTGCCAGTCCAACCACTTCATCAACAGTCATGCCAGTTCAGCACTGTGGTCGCAGGGCTGTGTCTAAGCTCCTCCTGAGATTCTGGGATATGCATCACTCTTACTCTCTTTGGCATATGAACCCTACTTCAGAAACACTTTCTGTCATGGTTATTAGGTTTCCCCCTTATAGTTTTGATTTTTTTTCTCTGTGTGATGAATGATGGATTGAACAGGGAGACTGCAGAGAATGTACAGAATGGTCTGTTTGCTTCACAGATGGCTGAAGTGGAGCAGGAATTTGCTGTGATGTGTTACACTTCTCTCAGGGTTTTGGAACCTGAACAGAAATAAAAACTCAGTCCTACCATGGGGAGCTTTGTGTCTGGCTGGGCACAACCCTGCAGAGTAAAAGGGTTTATAATGGTGATAGTGGTGATGATGGTGAAGTTCATGCTGATGGGTGGGGACAATGACAAATGTTCTTCCTTGTGTCTGAAATGCTGGAGTGGCTGATGTCCCCATTGATGTCATACTGCTCTCTAGATACTGCCCTCACAGAGTGGGGCCTCCCTCAGACCTCACGGTAGATGGGACAGAGACAGGACAGGCATATGAACCCGTCTCTCCCATCATTCATGAAGGGCTGTTGGGGGCCCTTGGTTCACAATAAATGTCAGTTCTGGTTAACAGTGGACTCTACTCCCTTGGTCTGACACTCAAACCCTCTTGTAATCGCTGTCCCTTAGCAGCTCTCCTGCCCTCCAGCACAAAGTGCCTTGCTTGGATTTGGTTGTGAAGAAGAGATCCAAGGGACAGCTTTGGTTTATTTGGTCTCTGATGGGAGCGGTGGCACTGATTTCCTGGCTCTATCCTCTACTAAGAAAGGCTCCTCTCCCCAGTTGCATTTTGAATGCAAATCTTATCCATAGTAAATCTCTAAGTAAATGCAAACTGATTCCCTTCTGTCTCTTGAATCCCTTCTGTGCTCCCTTAGTCCAGGTTTGTGTACATAGGCTGGCTTGGCCATGAATAAATACAGCAGCATCATATTTTCTTGCTGCTCTCAGGTCAAGAAAGCAAGGTGGGAAAGACATGATAACATTTCTCTCACCTCCTTCACCACTATCAGAACATTTTGCAAGCATTTGCCTGTTGCACAATGAGTCACTGACATCCACTGTGTCTGTTTTTTGTTCCCTCTCCCTCACCCCAAGTTCTCTCAGCTCATTAAAATCTTCAACTCGCTGGGCCCTGAGAAGTTCCCCCTGGTGGAGCAAACATTCTTCCCAAGCCATAAGCAGATGGTGAGTAACTTTGCTTTCTTCTGATGCCACTATGGATGAGGTGGAGACAACAGATGCAAGCTGGACCCGGGAAATAGTGGCAGGAATGCTGGGAAGAGTCTGAATTTTGCTTACAGAAAAATACTAGCTAAAAAGTGCTATGCAAAAGGCACTCCTTGGGAACCTCTTTCCTTTCTTGCCCAGCCCTCCCCTAGGTCATGTAAGGACCCTGAAAAAATGTACAAAGAGGCTCAAAGGTTCAAAACTAAAGCAGAATTCCATTTTAAAACACCGTCAACAAAAAGCTCATCCCTTAGAGGAAAAAATCACTCTATTCAGATAAAGTGGATTTTCCCTGCTCATGGAATTGTTTAAAAATATTCTGACAATTTGGAACATGGGTCCTAAGAGATGTTTGTTTCACAATGTTAGTTTGCTTGGCCTGTCACGTGCTCACCATCCATGAAACATTTATCAACCTGAAGGTACTCAGAGTAACCTGGAGTTCTTAAAAGAGTTTGTTTCAGCTTCTCATGTTTTCTTTGCACAGTGCTTTGGGGTCTGGTCTTTCTGTCAACAGCTGAACACTCAGTGCCCTGTGTGACTGCTGGGCACTGTACCAAACTCTCAGGGCACCTTCCAAAGAAATCTGCAGAGGTGCCTTTAGTCCTGGAGAACATGGCAAAGAGAGGGGCTTTGTTTACAGCTGGTCATGGCTCTTTTTTTCCCTGTGTTAAAGGAAAGACTAGTCCTTTGTGAGTTTTTGCTCCCAATGTACATCCATGAATTAGTGGCTCTTCCTACATGTCTGAGGCTTTGATGAAACCCTGCATGAACCATGACCCCTTGTGTGACCACTGGCTGGCTGAGCTAATTTCCCAGGCTTGACTGTGAACCCAAGCAGCACTGCCAGCCTGAACACGAGGGTTGTTGAGATGACAAACTAAGGCTTAAAAATATTCAATCCCATCTTTTCTCACACGCTTGTTGCAACTGTGGGCCAGCCACAACACAAAATAGGGTGTAGATACATGATCCTCTAGTTTCTTGTGAAAAATCCCACTGCTGCCTGCTAGGTACTCAAACATTTTGAAATGCCAGTCCTTCACCTCTCTGTTCCAGTACTCTCTCTATCTACCATGGAAGTGCTGTGTAGACTATGGCACTTCCATGCTTCACAGGCACATTGTGGAGGTAAGTACAGTCATGAAGTTATATTATCATTTAAGACATAAAGAAATGGATAGTCCTTAAACAATGTGACAGTGTTTTCCACATTTATAAGATAAGTAGTCACATAGCTGTTGTGTTTAATTACTAATGATTTATGAAGATGGTTTTGTGATGTAAGTAATACTGCAGGAAGGTTGTGACTTGGACCACCATTTCAGGAACAGTATTTTTTGAAGACTTGATAAAGGTTATAATTGCAAATAAGTTAGCACTTTTAGCACATTTTTCTTGTCTGGCTATCTGATTCTTGGTTCTGCAGATGTAGATATATTTGGCACCAGCAAAGTAGATTGGTTTAGCACTGATCTTAATTTCACTTATTTTCCATTTTTGTAACTAATGACCTACTTGGAGATGCTATTGCTTACTTCCAAAAGGGTACAGGAAACCTTTTAAACTGTGGGTAATCTCATATGAACACAAACACTACTGCTGACATGCAAGCCTGAGTAATCTGGTTTAAATCAGTCACTTCCCAACAATTTACAGAGGAACAATCCACTTGGGCAAGTTCAGGTCAGCCCTTCCCAGGTGACGGGGGTGCTCTGCCTCACAGAATGAATCTTCACAACTTAGAAATATCTTTTCTGGGAGCATCTTCACAGCATCCTGGGTCTGAGAGGTCAAGTGCCTACACCAAGCATGCTGCATTACAGTCATCACCAAACACCTGTGGAAGTTGCTTCTCCACTGTGCATCAGCTTTTCCATTTGTCAGATAGGAATATACTGATCCTCTTTTACCACTCTTTCTCTTCACTCTCCTGGAGGTATTTCCAAGCTGCACCAGTGAGCACTCATAAAACTCACTGTGTTCCTTTGATGGGTCACCCCCTGGAAGTGTTTATAACGAGTGCTATGGTTTTACCTCTCCGCAATGTGACACACTTTAAGCACTTAAATTCTCACACAGGAGACCCTCATCCTTCTATATCCAAATTTTTCCAGAGTCTACTTTCTAAACCTTTGGATTAAGCAGAGAACAGATTCAAAGACCTCTTTCATTCCTTCATCTCTGTAGAGACTAGACTTTCCAAGAGTAAAAAGTGAGATATAGGAGGTTTCTAACAGTAGGTCATTTTTGTGAGCATTTTAACTTATCTGAAAATGCTTTTTCTGAAGCTTCCTTCTCACAAGAACAGGGGACTTTAAATCAGCCTTAAACAGTAAGCCTAAAGAGAGGACACAAGATTCTGACATTTCACAACAGAGAAGATGAACTTCTCTTCCCTTTGCCATGGGCATGCACCTTTTAGACCTCCCCATAATGTTCAGTTTTCTGGAAATAAGAGCAATCTGGTAAGTGTTCTTCCAAGGACCTACTGGTGCTACAGCCAGCCCTAATGAGTGCCTTGCTCTGTACTGACCTCCTATGGCCAATTAACAACTGGGAGTCATTAACTTCAAAATGGATTTTTCGCCTCTCCTGGGCTTATGACCACAATAACAATTCTTAGAGAGAACAAGCTCTTAAAAAGAGGGGGGGATTCCTGAAGGGATCTTTGCCAAAGCACAAGAATTACCAGAGGTGGAATATCTCCTTTGGGACCAATAAAAGGGTATCAGGAAGGGGAAGGAAATTAAGAAATCCAGTTGCAAATCCATTTGTGTATATTTGAAGTCGACAAGAACTAATATAAGTGAAGCAGAGACAGAATGTCTGTGATAGAAATAAAACCACTTTACTGTTTAGAATAAAAGGACACTATAAAAAGTGAACATTATGCAACATTACCTTAAAAGACAATATACATTCACTGAATATAAAATTTATAAATAACATGGAGGAAATCTGTAAACAGTGCTAGAAAATTTAGCAACAAATACATTCCTTCTGGACAAGATTTTTCACATGGGTTTGTTTCTCTCCCCAAGTTTCCATGACTATCAGGAACAGCAGAGTGGCTCTATGAAGGAAGGACAAGTGCCAGAGAGAAGGAGAAGCCAGTACAAGCAAAACAGCAGCAAATGTTTAGTGGGTTTTTTATGTTTTTTCTCAAGACTGGTAGCCCCAGAAGTCACTTACTCTAAAAAAAACTAAAACTTTTTTGCAGTTCCCTAAATTCTGTTCTGTCCTTTGAAGCTGTAAAACACATTATAAGCAAGCAGTATTTTCAGAGACACCTGCAAGGATAGAAACTTTTTCTCATGGAGGCCTTTATTTCCAACAGTCTTTACTATAAAAACACAACAGTATGTTTCCCATCAGCATTTCACTCTGACAAGTATAAATGGGATACAATGATAGATTTATGTTTTAGAATAGTTCTACCTAAAGGGCCAGATAACTCTTCAAAACATGAGACTTAAAAATGGCAAATTTTTTCCCATACAGGGGAGGTAGAAGCCTCCCACAAGAGGAGGCTTCTTTATTTAAGAAACTCCATGCACAGATCTCCTCCTACTCTCTACCCTCTCCATTTTGGAAAAGGCAAATAGAATCTAACCTTTTCCAAACCTTCAATATCTATTTTTGTCATATTAAAGGGGAAAACACTCTACAGCAAGTAAGGGAAAAAATATGCATAAGAAACTGAACAGCTTCAGTCTAGATATTAGCTATGCACTTTTAAAAGTATTTTTAATAATGTTTGTGTGTCTAAAGCATGGTGGCAGGGACTGTGTGTGTAATCCTGGGCATCTCCATTGGCAGGCAGAAGTGACTTAGCAAGGCAGAAGAAAGGAGAGCTGACAGAAAGGAAGAAGTCTTTGAGTCCAATTTAGAGCCTCTTCAATCCATGTAATGGCTTCTACTTCAGAAGTGCCTTCAGGCAGGTCCTTAATGCAAGCACAAGCCCCAGAAATGCATGTCCCTGATAGCATCCATAGAAACAAAATAAAGAAGCTTCCCAAAAGAAATGTATTTTCATTGGATTCTTCCCCATCCTTTTGGCTTCACATTTTGAGAAGCCTTAACAACTGTTTCTTTACACAGCAAGGGCAAAGATTTGCCACCAAACCTCTGCCCTTGCCAGTCTAGCTGTCTGCACCTCAGAAACATTTTACTGTCTGCAAAACAAAGTGGGAATATGCTTCACTTTCTGGTAATGCATCTACTGTTTTGTTGTTTACAAAGCACATAGCTACATTATATCCTACGCAGGGACACAAGTCCTCATAGTATTAGAACGCAAATATTTTCACAATAATTTGAGTGCAATACTGTGATGTCTCAGCTAGCTAAATGAATCAGTGACAGGTAAAATATGCAGAGCTGCAGTTTAATGAAAACTCAGATCAACACTTTACTGCATCAAGGGGCATTATTGTTTAGCCTTCCAAAGCTGTGAGAAGTGGCTGCAGCTCAAAGAGACACTGGCTTTGCCAAGTCACCTTGAGCTTGAGGAGGGCCACATCCTGCAATGCCGACTCCAAACAACGCAGACACTGAGGGCGGCTCCATTCTGCCCCCAGTGACCCTCACAGATTTTGTCAGCCATGCAAAAATCAAACAGAGATTGTTCCACTGAGCCCAAAGCCCAAACCCATATTTTGCCAAAAGGAACAATTTTCTGAACCACCACCTGGTCCTGTGACAGGTGTCATGAAGCACCCTACTCTCCCTCTCATCTCCAGCCCATTATTTAGGAGTAGTCACAGGGAAGAGGACTTCTGAGAAATGTTCCAAATCTAAATAGACTTTTAATGTGTTTTGTGCTGCATTGCCACTCAGAGCTGCTGGGAAAAAAAATATATGTGGCAGACCTGGGCACTTCTTACAGCAATTCTGTGAAAATGCCCTTCAAAGTTCATGCTAAAAATGAAGCTTTTTGCTGCAACAAGTCATCC